CTTGTTTGTTTGTTTATTTGTTTGTTTATTTGTTAATTTGTTTTATTTGTTTGCTATTTGTTTGTTTTTCTTGTGTGTTGTGTTGTGTTGTGTTGCCACTGCACTATACAGATTGTGCTGATACGATAGAGGTAAGACTTTATTTGCATTGTATAGTATCCACATTCGCAATGTATAGTGACAAGATAAGATGCTCGGTCGCCTATCTTCAATCACTATGCTCTGTTTCAATGTTGGGGGAGAGCACACTCAATTGCGCAAGAGTAAAGCATGGGAACGACGTTTGTAAAAAAAAAAATCTTAAATGTGCATCTTTTAACTGGGTTTTAGGGTTTTAGACATGCGCGAGTACTTAGTTCTATTCTCCATGTGCAATGTGACAATAAATGTATTTTCCAAAGTGTCGGCTGCCTGTCTTGCATATTGGGCTGAGTTGACATACGCCCTGTGGCTATCATAGCCATCCCTTTCATGGGCAGAAGTGTTTGCCACACACATACATACCCAGACCACCACCTATCTGCATGTTCTTGTTCAGGATCTAACTACCTTGCTTCTCATTATTGTCAGAAACACAACCAAAATGATGATGCTGGGGCTGCGTCGGATGTATCAGGTATGGCCCACGACGGTACACACCATTCAGCCGTTGCTTCTGTTGTGTGTGTGCTGTGTGCGTGCCACTTGCTAAGGCGTTGTTCCCACTGATGGCCTTCATTGCATTAGGGTTTTAGGGTGCATTGCTGCAAATGTTGATGGGTGTAACTTGGTTTCCTGCTGCTGCTGCTGAGGTTTGCTGGCAATTGTTGTCGCTGCTCTGTGCGGGCGTTGTATCCCGGGTTTTCTCACGCTTTGTACATGTTAGTGTGAAGCACTTATTTTTCCGTATCCTTAAACTCTACTTGTGTATATGTGTACACTGGTTGGTATCAGTACTCCATTGTCTTGTTGTACACACAGCTTCTCGCTCCATTCATTTGCACTTTACAGAAGAATTGGTCGTGACACAGCGACACAAAGCAGTGGTGGACGATGACATAGACGAACGGTACACGACCAACGACAGCAGTGACGACGAGGAGTTCTGTGTGGACGTGCCGCAGTATGTCAGCGAAACACCTATCTGTGTGTTTATAACACACACCAAATAATCACCTGATGTATTCTATGTCTGTGTGTGTTTATAGCACACACCAAATAGTCATCTGTTGTATTCTAAGTCTGCGTGTGTTTGTAACACACACCAAATGGTCACCTGATGTATTCTTAGTGTTCATCATCCGCTTGTATTACGATGTGTGTGAGAACATGAACCTATATAAATATATATATATATATATGAATATATATATATATATATATATCGTATCTCATCTGTCATGTGTATATACATTTGTTTGTGAGATCGTATGTGTTTGCGTGTCCCTCGGGTTGTGGATAAATAGTTCCGTGATCCCGTGGATGTGACCGAGTATCCCCTTCTCACAACACAGCGCAACACACGTGCATGCAGCATACGACAGTAACATGGGCGGAAGATCTGTATATTTGTTACTGTACTGTGCACATATTGCATGCGGACATCACGTGCATATCCACGTAAATATGGCGCATTGATATATCTATACTTGCTGAGCGTGTGCGTTTTAATTCGTTGCTATGCAATATCTGTGGTGATGTATGCGTCTCTATATGAGCACAAATATGTTTAAAAGAAATCACATAATTGTTTTGAAGTCCCCTTCGATAAGTTCCGGTGTGTAGGCAGTTCCAGGTACAGCTGCCTTCGTATTACCAATAGATACAGGCGAGTCACACGTATTATCAATAGATACAGGCGAGTGGATATGTATTATCAATGATACAGGCGAGTGGATATGAACACACATATTATCAATGATACAGGCGAGTGGATATGAACGCACATGGTTGTGGCAGTCTTAGGAAACGGCTAAAGTAGTGTCAATCATGGATGTTTGCGCGTGTGATTCATCATGTATTTTTGCGTCTGTGCATAGAGACTGTTTTTTTCTTTTGCGGGGGTTAACTCGTATATACTTATTTCTAGACACGCATGAGTTTATATATCTATGTATCGGCATCTATATACGCATCTAATCGGCACATGTATGTATTCTTATATTTATATATACATACATATAAATATATATATATATATATATACATATATGTACGTGACGACTCGACCAACGG